CAACCTGATGTACATCCAGCAGCAGCAGCAGCAGCAGGCGAACCTGCAGCGGTGGCTGGATCAGGATGCATTGGCCGCTGCCATGGCCGCCAGCAGCCATCACACGGCGGTGCAAGTGCTGCAGGCAATGCCTGGGACCGGGCCAGCCTCCAACACGGCAGCCTCATCGGCGACAAATTTGACATTGGTGGCATAATCGATGTAGCAGCAACAGTTGGAGGAGCAACAGATGGCGGAGCAGCGGGTGTGCGGAGCTGAGATCCCACCAACAAGTTATGGCAGTCACTGGGCCTGGCCTTCCTAGCGTTAAATAATTACCATATATTATACACTTTCTTTATGGGTTTAGGCGTGCCTCGTTCTTCAGTTATTTGCTAAGGATTTCAAAAAAGAGGGGACATTCACATCCTTCGCCCTAAAATATATATCATATATCTTCCAAGCATATCAGAGCCCCCCACCTAATCTCTAAGGATATAACAAATACATTTTTTTTTCTCTAATTCTAAGAACAAATTAAGTTTAAGGAAGACGGATAATTTTTTTTGTCATTAAACATTGAACAATGGTCTATAATACGCATATATTTTTTTTTCATAATTTTAGAAATTTAATTTAATGTCAAATTTTGGACCCTTTTTGCAAGCGTCGGAAAGTGTAAATAATTAATTATATTGTGTACAAAATCGGGTAACAGACGACGGAAAGGGCGCGGCGGAACATATTAATTTTTTCGCCCCAAGAATTTCAAAAGAATGGGTAGGGGGAAACGAGAGGGAGGTAATATTGTGACACTGTAACTGGAAAAACTGAGCAAACAAAAAAAATTGTTAAGAGTAAAGCTTTAAAACCAACAAAAATACACACACACACTTTTACACACAAAACACACACACACAAACGCACGCGTACGGAGCTCTTATGTGTAAGGGTTTTGTTTTTTTCTTTTGGAAAATGGAAAATTGAAGATTCTTGTGATATACAAAACAAAAATACAAAATTTAATAAAAACAATACATAAAACGAAACTGTTGAAAACTGAAGCTTAACGAATTATAGAGATACATATGTCTACACGGATTAATATATATACATATATATTTACACCCCAAAACACACGACAAAAAAGAGAGCCAGAACATTAGAGATATATACATACATTATATGAATAGTTACGGAATTACATTTTAAAGTTAGTAATAAATCTAAACCATATACATATATACAATATATTTATATACAACGACAAAAGAAACAAAAATTAAGATGGAAATGTTTTTTTGCGTGCAACAAAGGGATATTTTTTTAAGGAAATGAAACCTATTTAAATGCCTAGATATATATACATACAATATATATAAAAATCAGTATTTTTATATATAACATTTGACATGAGAGCAACAGCAACAATAACAATAATTGTAACATTTGTGACCACAAACAGCAGCAAAAGCAAACAGGAGAAAGAGCCAGAAAAACTACCAACAAAATAATTAAAAATGAATTGATTAAAAATTAACAACTGAAATTGAAAAAAAAAAACTTACAAAAAAAAATTGAACTGGTTTTTTCATTGGATCATCGCAGCGGGGCGATATCTATGGGCGTGGCCTGGAAATATGCAACCAAAATCCGCATAAAATGCAGAATTTACAACTGACGGTTCGGAAGAAGAACACTAATTTGGAGTTGGCAGAGTTCCACCATTGATGGGAACCTTCTTTCTATAATCGATGGATTGGTCGATTCTTCAGATGTCCAAGCTGTTAGTAATCCTTTTTATTGGTAAATTTCTGCTTTATCGGAATGGGGATCTTTCTACGAAAACTATTTCTCCTTTAGCTCAAATTATGCGTCTGATCTATACAAGCCTCTTTTGTTACGTTTAGTTACAGGAAACTAAACCATTACAGACGATTTAATATTCTTATACTTTCACTAATAGATGCTTTTTTGAGCAGTTCTGTACTCAGGTTCTACAGCCCTTTCCGACCTTTCCAATTCTACTTAACGAATTTCAATAAGACCGATGTCTTTCGATTGGCCTTTTTGTTGTAGAAACTTTATCAAAACAAGCCTCAAAATTAATGTGTCACGTTAATTCTAATAATATAAATTGTGAAAAAATAGTGATATCATAAAAATAGTTCATTTTAAGTAGTTCAAATAAATTTCAATCATTTATTGCAAAAAAAATGGTATTCAGCTGAAGTATTAAATCAAAATGCATCAGTTTTGGGTGTCATAAATATCCTTGAAACATATTTAAATTCTGAAGTCTAAAAATCTAGAAAATGTTCATACATTCCAATGGTAGTGAACAAATATCAAAAAAGGTTTAATTGATTGAGACCACAGTCTTAATGATATGTTTGTGGGATCAACCCCTTCATATCTCCCTTCATCGGCAAAGATAATCCCTTACTTTACCCCTTTTTTGTCTAGTATTTGCTATCATTTATTTCATATAGTTTTCTATAGTTTTAGAAATGCACTTAGTAGAAAGGAGTGCGGTTGGGTTTGTGCATCCGTTGTATAAGTCATTGTGAGACTATCTGCACCTTCAACAAAACCATCTGCAGGCCATGAACATAGCATATAGGTGAGTGCTCTAGAGAAATTACTAGCCAGATCCGATGGACAGATCCTGTACTTGATGGATGCCTTAATGTCAAGTGTTTGGATTATTTGGATCATCATTTGTATGATGATTAAGTGAGGTTAGGCGCGCATTCAAAGAACCCAACGCTGTTTGATCTTTCTCGGCACACAAATGCTTTCAATTTCGAATATTCTTTTGCATTGTGACAACGCATACTCATGGGCCAGAGCTTTAAGGCTTTTGAGAGACTTTCACCCACACCCCTATCCACCCTAACCATCCCCCCATCCCCATCGTAGTGATCCGTTCGGTTCCGTCCCGTCCCAACACGACTTGGTTCTGGTCAAATCGCTTGGCACATTTTGGCTATGCTGCCGCGGCGGGGTATGACTAAGCCGCAAATTCTATAATGATCGTATTTTTAAAACGTTTAAAAATAAAGTGCTCTCGTTTGCCAATGTGTGCGCCAATCACGAGCTCCGAGACACCACCACAAATCAGCATCAGCACCACGAGAGCCACCAGCACACCAGCGCACCACCGCCGCCGCAAGCGAACGAGAGGCATACTCATTGTTTTTTACGCGACGTTTTTCCTCTTTTTGCATTGTACGATTTCTTGGGATGAAGGCAACAAAAAAAAAAGCCAACTAAATCCCCGAGCATACATGTAGAGTATCCACAGTCAAAGCGATCGTTGCCAAAGAATTTTTGCGACATTTTGCGACCAACAGATGGACGGACGGCCGGCGGGAGGGATACCCCTACGTAGGGAAAGGGTATAGCAGCGGGAGGGATATCGGGATTCGGATTGTACCGTATCGGATCTGCATGTGATTTTTTCGTTCAGGTGATCGTTCCCACGTAGTCAATGATCTTAGAATGGGTGAAAAAGAGAAACGTTGAGATGTGGAGTAGCACGGTTGGCGGATAAACAAAATGGTGGAGGGGAATGGGGAAAAGTGGAACGGACGGAGTAAAGGGTACTAAATCAAAAGTGAGCAATTGAAGGGAGTGAAACATGAGGGAAACGAAAGTGAAGAGTAGAGCAGTGCGACGAGGAACTGTATGGTGTTTCACAGAGAGAAGATGAACAGGAAGATGTGGAATATATAGAAGTGGAACACTCAAGGAGGAGAAACATAAGGAGCCTACAAGGGGTGTATTCGAACGGAGACAAATAGGAAGTTAAAAATATGACCGATGACGGACAAATGGAAAAGGAACAGACAGAAAGTACTGAGTGGGGGCATGGAAACAACGAACAGGAGGCACGGGGAAGGCGAACGAAAGGAAGTACAAAGGTGGGCGTGAAATTGAAAGGAATGAGAAGCACGGGGATATGTAACAGAGACAGATAAAAAAGCCACACGTGAAAATACCGTAACAGGGGAACGGAGGGAGTGAAACAAATTAAAGGAATGGTAAACGGTGAACGGTTTTCGAGTGGGGGAGCAACCGCAGAAAATTGCAAAATTTCGTTTATTTTCGTTTCGGTTTTGCTCTCCTCGTTCCGCGTTGCCGTGTCAACTTTTTCTCGACGTTTTTTTTTTATAGTTTTTTTGTACGGCTACTGTACCTGTTGTTGTTGTTGTTGTTGCAGATCCAAGCCACGTGACAATTTTCGATTGCTCGAATGTACCCCACAGAAATATATATTTTGACTTGCATCAACGTCAACCGCCGCATCAGCATCAGCATCCACAGGGGGCATGCAGCCAAAGTTTGCAAAGTAACGCAGAGAGGGGACGTGGGATATGGTACGTGGGACGTGACACCTGAGTCCCAGTCTCGAGTGCATTGCAGATGGCGATCGTCTATTTCTATATACATAGCTATATGTACATACGAGTAGTACCTATATGTTTTATATTGTTTGTTATTGATCAAGCAGGTTCTGGTTCTTTGATGTGATGTGATGTGATGTGATGTTGTAACCAGGGGAACCATTGTCGAGCGATTTCACAGACGATCGTGACATAATCTGTTATATGAATTCCTACATTTCGCGCAGATTCTTGTTAAGAGATTGTGAAATTCTGGTAAACCAGAGGTTCTAAAGGTTGCTGTTGGTATAGGGCAACATACCTTCTAGGCGATTGTTTCCCATATCTATCGTGGTATGAAAATCTGCTGATTGCGAGTAGAAATTCTTATACCCTACAGAGTATATTGATAGCTATTTATAGATTCAAACAGAGCGAAGATCAGCATTAAAATCAATCAGATTTCCTCCATTGAAAGAGCTATCGTCCAAGGGATCCATCAATGTTCTGGCCACAGTCTAGCGGATCCATCAGCTCCATCGATAAGGGTAACTACCCAGCAACAGTCTCTAACCTCCCTCCCACTCCCGATTTGAACTAATAATTCATATGAAAATTGACTTTAAATTTGGCTTTGCTTTTTATCAGATTTGCAGTTTATTTTTGGGCCCAGACAAACGATACAAATAACAATCGAATAAATCATTCTCGAGTGCGGGCAAAAGCGTTAACTAATTATAGATCAGGCAGGCCATGGTACGGTTCCTCCACTCTACTGACAGTGTCAAATCGTTGCTCTTCAAATAAGTTCGTGGAGTGGCAACAAAACAAGATCATCGATTTTGGGCCTTGGCTAAAATATTGTGCAAGGTCCGCCCAAAAGCCCAGACCGGGACCGAGTAGAAGCCATTCCAGACCCAATTCTGTCCCGTTCCGTCAGTCACTATCTTGACAAACGGATAAATCGAAATTGATAGCTGAAAGCTTTCTGTTTGTTGGCTTGTTAGTGCAAGGGCTTGACCAGTTTCCGGCGGCTTATAGATATCTAATAGAAAATGATCGATGAACGATGAATGCTAGATCTTCTCCACTGGCCCGTTCCATCCATCCATCCATCCGTGACTATATGTAGTTGCAGTAATCGTTTTGGTTTTCGGTTGCTTATTGTTTGTGGCTTTCATTAAATGCTAGGGTCATAAATATTACACACTTTTTGCTTAGAAAACTATACATATATAGATTTGTATACATATGTATTTGTGTACAAATTACTATATAAATCGATCGCATTGGATCGCCCTGGGAACGCTGGAATCGAATATGGGTGAAAAAAAAACACCATAAACATACATAAATATATGGACTGGGACAATACGAGTTCGAGTATATACACACACACACACACAAAGAGGAAACGTTATGGCTAGACATCCTTGTAGTCCACAGATAAATGCAGAAAATTGTCTGGATAGCTGAGGTGCTCGGACATCCATTGCACCTGTGTCTCCTCGTGCAGATCGATTCCATGGGTGCGAAATCCAACTGAAAATATACAATAATATAGATGAACAGGAAATATTTAATGGGAATATATGTACATATAGGAGGAAGCCATACTCGATTTTGGATACTCTTTATTATGATCCCTTTCAGAAAACATTTCAGTCTCTCTCGCTCCTTGGATTAGCATAAACATTTATATATAGAATCTGAATACCAGGTAACTTGATGACGAGGCACGGGTGCCTCCACATAAAACCTTCCAAAAGAAAGCTTCTTCTCTCTAAAACTGTATAGATCCATCGTCATTCCAGTGAACCGATCTTCAATGACATTTCTTAATTTATATTTGATCTACATATAGTATTCCTATTAAGATACCGATGGATACTGTCAATCGATACTGCCAAACGGGTGAGGCAGTGTCGGGCCTCTAGACAAAAGCGTACTACCCTAGGCATAGGAATTAATTATATAAATGATTGGCAATCAGTATTTTCATTAATGAGAGAGACAGGGTAGCGCTGATCGTTGTCTTAATAAATGCAGCCTATTACATGCACATATATTATAATGAATGAGATCAGCCAGCGATTACTTCAACGAGACCTGATAACGATGGGTTATCCCTCACCCTCACCCTTGATTTTCACCCTTCACTCGATTCTCTCCCTCTCCCTTCCGATCATGATTGACAAACGGTAATCCATAAAGATTAGGCCAAGATTCGAGTCCCAGGGAGCTACAGTTCATTCTGAGTTAAGAGAGTTAAGAGTTCTTCAAATTAGTTTCGCATGGAAATCAAAGTTTGCTGCGTTATCGGCAAGTTTTAACGGCAGTCGCCATGAGTTTGGCTGAACACTTCAAGAGAAATTTCGTCATTTTTAATTATAGCATATGAACTGTAATTATAGATTGGCGATCGGCGATTCTCGATTCTCGATTTGAAGCGATAGCCGATTCTCAATTGCCTGCCAGTTGTGCAGAGTGCGTCCCGTCCCGTCCTCCCACACCACCCATCGAAAGTTTTTTCTACTTTTTCTAGTAGGTACTCACTAGTAGGTGCATACACATGTATGCTTGCTTAGACGTCGAGCAAGTGCAAGTCGTAGGCCATATTATATATGTTTAAATATAGGAGCTCGTATCGTATACGTATAGAGAGCAGGTTTGTGGTGAGTATTTCTACTCTGATAATGATAATGGCTGATTACATACAGTGGGAGGCGAATGAGTGTTGGCCGGAGATAAGATTTGTGCAACGGGGCGAGTTCAAGTAGGGCGCATACGCATACGCATACGCATACGCATACGATATGATACAATATATGTATGTACTCTCGTACTCGTACGTGCACACCATTCCATATTATTCCGATTCTGCCACCGCTACAGATTAAGATTCAGTAGCGGTGGCAGGGCCAGGGGCTGTGGCTCTGGCTGTGACCAAGTCACGAGTTTAATGACCAAGCGAATGATGGCGCTACCCAAAAAATACGAGTAGTATAAATAAACGGAATCAAATCGCGTTCAAGTGGACATATGGGAAACAAATCAAATCAGTAGATGGGCGGAGTATTATATTATGATCGTGGGATTCACAGGGTATCCACCATGTTGGAATCTATAGGTTTGAATGCTAGAAGGAAGCACTCTTAGTGGGTTGTAGATCAAAGGATTTAAATATGATCAAATTATTATACCTACATGTACGTATGTATACGTAAATATTGAGATTTAATTTTTATTCGCAGTAAAATAAGCTTTAATGGATGAAAAAGATCGTTGATATTCCGAAATGTTTCGTCGTTTGAATGGAAGCGAATGATTTGAATGATGCTTCGAGTATGGGTCATGGAATTCATACAAAATCTATTAAATGAATCAGTGCCATCTTTAAAAAATCATAAATATAGTCAAAGGAATAGTTGAACCAGTACCTTGGACAGCAGACAAGCCCCAAGGGAGGTGTACTTCTATTTTGAATCTTTGAATGAAGGAATATGTTCTAAAACCACTTCAGACCGTTCCTATTGTCCAAAACCAAAGAAGAAGCCATCAAATGCTCGGTGAAGACAACCCCATCCATCCCCCAGAGATCATAAATCATTCGAAAGAAACCAACCTGAACGATATAAACTATTAAACTAAAGATCACCGACGGGAGACAAAACCCCATAGACATGAGTACTTATATAGATATAGATGTTTTTCTTTTTGGATCTTGGCGACAGCCAACACAACCAAGAAATTTCGAGAGGGCCGGACCCCAAAGAGGGACCGAGGGAGAGTGGCGCCAAACCGTCTGAAAATTTATTGATCCCATTTTTATTATCGTCAACAGCACAACGGTGTGGGGGGAGCGGGAGAGAGAGGTGCCTAGGGGGAGCTCATAGCTCATGCCTAAAAATAAACCATAAACGCAGCCAAAACTGTTGAATGACTCCGATAAGGAGAGCCCCCAATCATCATAATCATTTAATAGATTGTGTTCCATAGAGCCGTAAAATGTGCGCCGCGAAACACCCGATCAACCGTTCGTTTCAATTCCAAACGTTTCGCGTGTCATCTAATCTCCACACTACCACTCCCACTCCCACTCCAAACGTACCCGCAGCCACTGTTCTTCCCCCTCCCTCTCTCTGAGAAAATAAACTTGCGGTTCAGTGACGCCATTAAAAAGTGCTAGTGAGATACAGAGGAGCCAAACCGCTAATCAATTTGTATGCACGATACTCGGTAGAGGGTATGTTGTATTCGCGCAAAGGTCTGTGCCAAAGAAAACAAGGAAAGCGAGAAAATTTATAGGGAAGTGCACACAAAAAACACGTGCAAATCAATATAAATACCAAATAACTCTAGGATGAACAAAATGAACAGAGAGCTGTGTGTTATGGTGCATTGGTGGAATAAACTTCATAGAATTACATAATGAAATCAGTCAATCAATCATGAAAGAGAATGGAACCCCATAGCATCCGTTGGGCGCAAGATTTAGCCTATCCACTAAACCGCCTCCGGTACCGGGTATCCAATTGTCGATGCACTTGGCCACAGCGTTGACTCCGTTTTTGTTGTTGTTGTTGTTTTTTTCTTCTTTGGTTTCTTATGCAAGCCGTATTCGCAGGGGAACGGGTAGTAGGTGGGGGGTTTAGCTGGTATTAATTTCAATTATAATTTCGGTTTATTTTCATACAGCAACAATGTCAACTGGGGGTCTCCGCACAGCGAGAGTAATGAGAATGAAAACTCGCTGACGCTGCAGGTGGGGGGGGGAAACGAGGGACACACACACATGCATATTTACATAGATAGCACTTGACGATCCGATCCGATCCGATCCGGATCCACCAGACAAAACAAAACATTGTTGCAATCCGAGAAGAGTGAGAGAAGCGAGAAGTGATGGAATGTGCACCAAAACAGAGTTGTATGCAACTTAAGGAAGCTCCAGACAGAAAGAGACATAATGATCTCCGATTACTTGAAGACGCCTAAAGAAGAGGCTGAAAATACTTTGAATCATTCTCAAATTTTAAGTGTAAATAGGAGTAAAAGCTTGGAAATCCAATGATCCAATTTTACAATCTGGGGATGAACGTCCTCCATCGGTATTCCATCTGGAAATTAAGTTTTCAAGAGATCTGTAAAAACAGAGAGGAAGGTATATCCAATTCCACAAAGGATATAGCCATATTCGCCGTCTATTCTGCCATTCTCGCATCCTCAATCTTCGAGGTAGTAAATTTTTGATAAATATTCATCTAAATAGCTCAAAAATATGGGATTAAAATCGGATTAGGACTGATTGTTCTTCTGTCAGCTGTAAACATCTATCAAATGCAATATGGCTTCCAGGCAACGATTAAGGGTTCCCAAAAGTTCTGTTCTCTCAACGTCCGATTGAATGACTTTGATTGAAATGGTATTAATCGCTGGCGCGCCCTCACCCACCTGATGCCCACCTACAGGGGTTGTGTACACACAGCTGCTGCTGCTGCATATTAGCCCACCCAAAAACTAAGGCGTGGCATGGCCAATTGTCACACAACACACACACACACACACACACATACACACCAATAGGGAAACACGGACACATGGATATGCATAAAAGAGATGGCAGGGTAGGCGCTGTTCTGCGCTGTCTCCTTCCCGCTTGCAGGTTGCCATTGTGTTTGTCTGATTGACGAAATGCAAACGAAAATGTGTCGAAATGGGACTAAGCAAATGCAATAAGTGAGGAGTGCAAACGAGAGAGCCAGCACGAGAGAATGGTAGTGGGGAAGGGGACGAGACCGGCCAACAGTTGCCATAAAGAGATGCAAGAGAGCCAGGCACAGGCTGTGCCTGAGGCTGAGGCAGAGGCAGAGAGTGATAAACATTGAGGTGCGATTTCCGTGCGCCGCCGTTTCACTGGAGTTCTCGCGCACTGCCTGCACACACAAGTAGGATGAGGAGGATGAGGAGGATGAGGAGGATAAGGAGGGTAGCAGCAGCAGCAGCGGGAGGTGGGGGCAGGAGATGAGGTGTGGAGTTTGGGGGTGGAGGTGTAGGTGAGACAAGGTGAGACGAGGCGGGGTGATGGCGAAGGTGTAAATACAAATAAGCGGAGGTGATATCTCAGAACTTCCTTTTCACACATTCGAAAGAGCAGCACCCCACACAAATGCAAACACCCTGCACACACACACACACACACACACACACACGCATAGTATAAGGGGAGTATGAATAATAGCAGGTGAGGTATTCCCGCTCATCGAGTGGCATAATTTGTTAGTCACTCCCTCTCTCTCTCTTACTCTCTGGCTGTATGCATGCAAATCTCGTGAGCGGACTCTTGGGGAGCGCCTCACCTTCTCTTGAAATACACTTTTGCACACAGATGCACAGGCTCATGCACATTTGGCGTGCAGTTGGCGTCGCTGTCGGCACGCCAACGCCACCAAAAAAAAAACAACAAAAAAAAAACAGAAATGTGTTGCTGTTGTTGCTGCTTTCCGGTGAACAGCAGTGAGAAGAGAGAGAGCGGGAGAGATCCGCTGCTGCCAAGCGCAGTGCGCAGCCGGCGGCAAATCATGAAAGCGCCTCCTCAGACGCACGAACCAGCAGCAGCGGCAGTGGCAGTGGCAGCGGCAGCGGCAGCGGCAGCGGCAGGAGTAGAAGCCAGCGATGGAGAGAAGTTAGAGGAATGGGGGAACGAAGGGAGAATGTAGAATGGAGAACAGTGAAGCAAAGAGAAGGCAAAGGCAAAAGCCAAAAGAAATGCGTTTCTTTTATTTTTGACGCGTCTTAGATTCTCTGCCGCTGTCGCTGCCTACCTCTGCCACTGCCATGGATCGGCGTCGGCGTCATCGTCATCATTATCATCATCATCATCATCATCATCATCATCATGTTGTTGCTTTTGTAGATTTTGTTTTTTGATTCTTTTTCGTTTTTTGATTTCTTGGAATCGTATCTACTTTGAACCTTCCACGTTCCCGAACACCGCCGCCCGAACCGACCAACCGACAACCAACAAGCGTCCGACGATCCCGGTCCCGGTGTCGGGGAGTGCATTGTATATTTGAATTTCATTTCAATTTAAATACAATTTTCTATGAAAATGCACGCACTACAAATACGTGCAATCGTTACCATCTCCAATCCCCGACACACCGCCCCCCTCCCACCACCGCCATACAATCCATGGGCCTCGAGGCACCCCCAGGCAGCAACAAATTGATCATGTTTTGAATGCATTTCTGTTTGATTTGAGTTCGGATTTGTGTATCCGTGAATGCAAAAGATGTTCGATAGAAGGGAGAAAAATATGTAGAAAGAGGGGATGGGGTGGGATGGGGAATATATGGAATATACTGAATATTCCATTTTATTTGTACTCAAATTGGGACTGCAAATAATTGATCCTACAGATGAGAATCTTAGATCTTGGAATTGGTTATGAATTCTATTTGTTTCAAGGTCTACCAATTAAAGATCTGACACACCATATTACACAACAAATATGGACCTAAAAGCCCTGAAAGTTTTACCAACAAATCGGGAAATTGGGGAGATTCGCAAAAAAAAAAACTAGGATATTTGAAGGATGACATTCTTATAAGCAGCAAGAGCAACAGATTAAGGATGCCTGTCAATATCAATAAATCAATATCCTTGGATGAAATGAGAAATGCTACTCTAACTGCAGTTTATGGCAATGGAAATAATACATATATCTAATCCTATAATGGCATGTGTTCCGATTTGGTGAAATATATTTTTGAATACGAATGAATACGAAAAACGGTTTTAATAAATTAAAATTAACGGAACTTGCGAAGTCACATATCCTTAAAATATAATCTTTTAGAACTTATGATGAAATATATTATTTAGAAACAGTGATTAAAAAGCTGAAAAACTTTCCAAAATTTTAGAGGTTGAGATTTGTATATTTATTAAGTGAACTACAATTTTTCTGTGTGGACATCATTTCATCTTTATACACCTTTCATACCTTAAAAGGGTCGAAGCTAATAAAATAAAATTCGAATCTTTTGAAGTTTTATATATAAATGGGGAGTAACCCACTGACAGACTTTACAGGTCCTAGTATAATTAAATATCATTAAAAGAATGACTAATAAAGAACGGAATATCATGAATAAAACGTTATATATCCTGTATTAGTATCTTGAGAAGATATATAGAGAGATACATATGATACTATATACCACTAGATACTCATTCTCGTGGATAAAAGCACTTCAAATTGAAAAAACTATAATTTTTAACCCAGAAATATAGTTTTGATATAACATACACCATTAGGTTCCCACTGTATACCCTATGCCTGTAGTATTTAAAGTTGAAGTAGGCAAACAAAAGGTGTCTTTGGTCTCCCTTTCACATAACTTGTTATTACAATTAAAGGATCATTGCCTCAAAAAGCAAGTGGATTAAAATTTGGAGCAAAAATATAGTGCAGAAAGTATCCCTCTAAGTGTTTCCGCCTCTACGTAAGCCCCAAAATGCTTCTATAAAGATTGACCTGGGCTTAACTTTATAACCCAAATCCCCGTCGATGCACGCAATAAATGATGCTGATCTCCGATACCATGATTGGGTCTGAGATTGGTATAGGAATGGGCAAAGGAATGGGTATAGGTATAGGGATACGTTTTGGTGTTGCATTGGCCCACACTTAAGCCAGGCGTGTTGAGGAGCTGTGTGTGTGTGTGTGTGTGTGTCTGCATCAAGGACACAGGCAATGACAGAGAGAGAGAGAGAGAGAGAGTGTGTGCAACATGTGGATGGATGGATGACCTTTGGGAAAATACGTGTTGATCGATGTTTCAAACTATGTACTTGCTCTCGCTCTATCCCTCGCTTTCTGTGCCATTTGTTTAGAGTTCTCGAAGAAGACCCTCTCACCTTTCAAATGTGGAAATTCCTTGGATCGAGAGAAGGCCATAAGCATGCAAATAAAAATTTCACACCTTGGCCGAAACGAACACAGGAGGGTGCTGCACTGAGAGGTGCACTCTACTCGGCTGCACTCAGCGCTGGATCGTCGTCGCACACATCTGGGGAAATACCCAACCTGCCCGAAACATATGGACTCGAAAAAGAACCAAGGATCTTAGCCGGCCGATTGTCAATGAATAGAGCGAGAGAGTGGGATAGGGAGAGAGCGCGGCCGAGGACGAGGCCGAGGGCGAGAGAGATCTTCTTGACCAAGTGGTTCCTGAAAAATCTTCACAAAAATACGTACATAATTCTTAAATCCCAGCCGCAGGTATTTAGTTCCGCCTTTTGTCTGTCTTTCGGAATTCCCAATGCTATTATTGCACCTAAGCCACTGCCAGCCAGCGCAGTGGCAATGGCAGTGGCAGGAGGAGGAAGAGGAGTGGGAGTAGGAGTAGGAGTAGGAGTAAGAGTAGGAGGAACATACACCATTCCATCTCTCTCCCTCGCTATGTGTATGCCATCTCGCTCTTGATCATGCTATTGTCGCCGCGGCGCCGCAGGTCAGGCCAGGCTGCTGCTGCTGCTGCCTCGCTGGCTGGCTGGCTGGCTGGCTGGAACCCAACAGCGATGCAACGTGCTCTATGCTGCTGCTGCTGGTGCTGACGCTGACGCTAGAAAATCCACACGCACTTTTCATTGTACTGAATAGATTTTTCATTCGTTTTGTCTGCAGGCTGAATGGTCGCCCGAAAACCAGCCCAGCCGAACACTTGGCCGAATAGTTTTGCCCAAAGGGGAATTTGAGGAAACCTGCCTGGAATGCAGGCAATAGCTATAGCCCATGTCTATTCTGTATACCCCCGGGGGCATTGTTCCATATACAAAAAGAGAGGAGAATACACTTCTTTTTTTTTTTTGCTTTTGTTTCGCTGAGACATTGATGAATTGAAGAATGATTGCTGCAGTGTGCTGCAGGGCGGATCGCAGTCGGCGACTGAGAGGCACAGACGGTGCGGTGCGGTGCGGTGCGGCACGGTAAGACACGGTACGATACGGTACGGCTCGTTTGTGTTATTCAATAGAAAAATAAATAAGTCAGACAGACATGCACTTGGCCGGGCCAGACTGACTGGCACCTTTTCCTTAATTTCTAAGAGACGCTAGGTCTGCTTCTGACAATAGATGAATGCTGCACAGATACACAGATAAACAGATATGGGAGATGCAGGAGAGACCGAAAGAGATGCTGAGACGAGATGCTCCATCGCCTCTTGCATTTAGAGTGCCTGTGGTAATTGATAGCCGGAAAATCCTAGTGTGCAGACTGGACTCACCCGCTTTGCGTTCAGGTGTTGATAATTCGGCCATCAGGTCGGCGAGGCTCTTCTTTTGTCCACTTTCGCTTATGGGCGAGATCAGTTTTTGCGTGTACGTGAAATCCTATTAATGACCAAGCGGAATCCATCAGTCCATGAAATCGAAATGGATGGTAAAACACACACAATTGAATTGAATGCAACTGAACTGAACTAAACTAAACTTAAACTCAAGGGTAGGTCCCATTCCTTCCTCCCTTCTCACTCACATCATCGTTGTAGAGGCGAACGGGAATGTTTTTGAAGGACTCCTGGTCACCGTACGGCTCCATGAGTCGTCTGTTGACGGCCCAAAACTGATCGAACTTATCATTGATAAGGCCCAGCCAAAGCTGATTGTGGTCTTTCTTTTGCATGGCCGAGATGACCAGACCGCGATGTTTCAGCACATCGGCCTCCTTCAAGCAGGACATATAGTGCGATTCCAACAGCTCCCTGCAAGACATAATATATACGGAAATGGTTAGTGGACATGGCGCTGTTGCAAAAGCTTTCGCGTATACTTTGAATTCATTTTGACCAGCGTCTCCTCCGGGAATTTGGAAAAGTGTATTGTCAGACCCCAGGGCGTGCAGTCCTCCTCTGGATGCAGCAGATCGTAGAGCACACCTAGGACATACAGAACAGCATTAGTTTGCAATAGGAGTTTTGGCCAAGAGTCTGTCCTCTGTCCTGCCCACCAGTTGGATAGTGCAGTCGCAGCGGTATGCCATTGTAGTCGAACCAGACAGCACCATCCTGATGCTCGGCGGCAATGTAGCGGGTGAAGTACTTTCGCACCTGTTAGGGCAAGGGTTTTTAGTGGCAATTGGAATGGCAATTGGATGAACGAACGCTGTGTATTACCTTATCAGTGACCAGCGGCAAGTAGCTGAGGCGGGAGACCATCAGGTAGAAGGGCTCTGGCTTGATGCCCACTATCTCGTCACGGTCCGCCTGGAAGCAGATGCCAATCTGACCCTCCCATATCATGCGCAACACCTCGCGGTCGTGGGCCATGGCTATCTTTTGCTTAAACTTTTAATTATTATAATTTTTTTGTTTTTGGCCTCGAATCAGTGTGACCGCGGATTTATCGATAAAATATACCGTCCGACCCTCAGAAATAAACCGAAACATACCGCCTCATTTTCAAAATATACCGTAAACGGTCACCCTGCCTCGAACAGTGTAACCTGATAATAGAGATGGCATCAGTACATCGATATGGCACTGCTGGCGGTATCGATATATCGTCCACTAACGCGTTAGTGCTGCTTAAAAAAATGATATTTTTAATACAAATACAGCTACATATCGATGTCGATGACCATTTACGGTATATTATATACTTTTATATATATCTTGACGTCGAAATATTTAATCATCAATCTATAAAGTTTCATTTTAAAAAGTATTTTAAAGAACAGGGTATAGAAACTCTCAATCGTACTTCCGTGCATCACTTATTCCACTGGATTGCATTCATATCGTTGTCACTCATTCACTGTCAAACAATTCGAGTTTTGGCGCGCAGCTCTAGCGACTATCCAGTCGATATTATCGATGGCCAAACTGCTTTCTTCAAATCGGTTAATACTCTATTTTTCGCTCTCTTTAAACCGGGTTTGAATCGGTAGCAACAATAAGTTTCATTCCTTACACACTTATGATCTTGGAGAGAACGATTAGCCCATTGTCGACCAATGGGTCTTTTAATTCCTTCCACGAAAATGATGAATCCCGAAGAATTTTAGCGCAATTCAGAACTGATTTTCTTGCCGCCTGTATTTTCCATTATTTTTAAGTCGCGATATGGACCCTCTTGTCCCTTGCAGCAATGTAGAAACGGTGTAGAAATGCCATTTAGAGCCATGTCATATGCCACAGTGAATACTAAATCATAATCGGCATCACATTCCTGAACAATTGCCATAAAAATCTCAATTTTTAAAAAATTAAAAAAAAACAGTAGGTCAAAAAGTGGATTTCTAACCCTGCCGCTCCTATGGGGCTTATATGAAAAGAAATCGGCAAAACTTGCCAACAAACGTACACATTTCCCCTTCAGGTGTCGCTTTTGATAATTACATACAAATGTAGTTAATATGTAGCAAATGTGTAGTTAGATTCTAGTAGCTATGTAAATTTTTGTTGACCTTTTATGTTTAAGCCTTATTTTATAAACAATCAAACAAAAAAGTGTCTTGTGCTGCATTCCCTAGCTAACTAGTGAATATCAAAACCGAGGAATATGATGAAATCATGAAAACTAATAATGTTAAGTATTTTTGGTATATTTCTGAGGGTAAGACCGTATATCTCATCGATAAGTGCGATCGACTGCTCGTTTTACATTTTAGCTGCGGTTGTGTGTGTTTTTGTAATTGTATTACCGTGAAATGTAAATATGAAGTGGAATCTCGTTGCATATGCCAGCACAAACTCAATTCTATTGCGAATTTCCCGATTTGGATGAGAACTAACGCAAACGCAACGATCCAGTGATCCAGTAGATCCAGTGATATCCGAGGCGCATTGTGTGGATAGATCGGTAGAAGACGACAACAGTGGGACGACGACAACGACGGTGTGGTGCTGAGGCGGCGCGGCGCGGTGTGGAACGGACGCAACACAGAATGGATGTTGAAATACCTGTTTTGGCTGGATATCTTAATGTTCCAACACAAACTGGATTTTCGCTAAATCGCATCTCAAAAAAGGTATGAAACCTGTGTGTAGCACTCCTTCCTGCCCCTATTCTGCAATTCTTTTTTCTCCCGCACATCCCATCCATCCATCCCATCACATACATTATGCACACGAATTGAATATATACATATTTCGATATTTTTGCAATTCAAATTTAAATTTGAATTTGAATATTTTTGCCAAATGCGCATTTCGATAAAGAGAGGAAGAGACAGGACACACAAACACACACCATCGAATGTGTGTGGAGTTTTCCCGCTTGTATGTGTGTGTGTCTGTGTGTATATACCATCCATCTGTCAGTGTGCATGGATGGACGTACCACCTCGTACTTGTTGCATACAAATGAAGCCTGTCAGCGGCAGAGGGAGCGGGACGTATGTGCACACATGCCACCAACATAAGTGTCGCTGATTTGCGTACACACACTCGCACGCACGCACACACACAACATACAAACACACTCGGACGCTGGTGCCCCACAGCTGGTCGTCGATTCATCCAGGTTTCGTGGTATTCGTGTGGCTTAATGTTTGTGGACAGGAAATTCTTGAGCACGCAATAAATTGGTAGAGCTCCATGTACGCTACATATGTATGTTTTAATGTTTCCTATGATTGTATGCGTGTGTGATGCCGCCTGAGGAGTTATGTAAGCCCCCCAAGAGAATCTCCCCAGATGCCCTAAGAACTCACTCGGAATTAAGCTCTAGATTGACCTTTAAGCCTAGCTTCAACAGCTGTCTGTTGTACCTGCGACCTTGAGGTGGAGGTACACCCACTAGAGAAAATTTGAAGGCGCCTGCGTGACAGAAAGATGGACTCTGAATGTCGTGCAGCACGCAGCACCTTCCCTCCAGCCTCTAAAACTATTCATAACATGAAAAATAGCCTGATCCTGCAAGCCCTAAAACGCATAACATGGATCCTATAGGTCCCAAGCAAGAGAGTACCATTTGTGCCATCAAATCTTTCTAAAACTCCTATTGATCCTTTTTTGTTATTGATTTGCAGAAACCATGCAGTCGATATTGCCTGCTGTTCAAGGCCAGTCGACATGGGATTGCCCGCCTGGAGATGTGCGAGAACAAGGACGATAAGAATCCCAAGATATTCACTCTCGAGAATTGTGTAAAGATCACACAGGACCCACCGCCGGACAAGCTCATTCACATTGTCAAGCACAATGGCACACTCACCGTCAACACCAACAGCGATGAGGAGCTAAAAGATTGGATCACAGCCCTCCAGACGGTCGCCTTCTGTGACACGGCAGCTGGAGGTCATGCCGTCCATGGCGGGGCCATCGAGGAGGATAACGACCTGTATTGCAGCTCATTTGTACGTATCTTCTATGGTCTGATGTGATAGGGAAAAAGTGTATCTGAGGCAGACAGTAGGCAATTCTGGAATCATCGATCATGGCTGTGGATCATTGGGGCACCCGGACACTGTGGTGCTGTCCGGTCCTTCCCGTGCGCCCCCAGCCATCGCTGTGCCGAATTTTGACTGCAAATAAGAATTTATTTATATGTTTATGGTTCGTCTCATGCCATAGCTCAATGAGGCCTTTCCATTCGAGTTTCTGGAACGTCTCGAACTGTTGGACGCCAGTGGACGCTGTAGACAGTGCCACGCTGCCGGTGCCGCAGCCGCAGAGCACCATGATCGTGAAACTGACCGTTTGTGAAGAGCCTCTTTTGTGGAGGAGATAGTCGCAGCAACGAGAATTGCCATACCCTCAAAGGGCCAGCGATAGTGTATACCAAAGTCATGGCCACAGATCACTTTCGTGGAGATGTGGTACTCCGCTGGGGGCTCCATTTCGAAAAAGCAACTACAAATCACCTCCAGGAGCATACGGTTGAAGAAACTACTGACAAGCCTACTCGCCTACTTCTCGATTCTGGTTCTGATTTGTTTTGTGCTTCCGTTTCTCTTGCAGGATGGCCTGTTCATGATTACGCTGATACCGTCGGAGGCCTCCATACGCTGCAGCATCGAACCGAAGACGTACATGCTCCAGATGACGCCGACGGAACTGCAACTGAAATCGGAGGATCTGAACGTAACGATTGCCATGTGGCCGTATCGATTCATACGAAAGTATGGCTACCGCGATGGAAAGTTCACCTTCGAGGCGGGCCGCAAGTGCACCACCGGCGAGGGGGTCTTCACGCTGGATCACACCAATCCACAGGAGGTATTTCGCTGCATGTCCGCCAAGATGAAATCGATGAAGAAGCTGATCAGCGGCGACAGCCTCAGCACGATCGAGTGCGGTGAGAATCAGTTTAGTGCCGCCGCTGGCATGGAGCCGGGCTCTCGGAGCCCGTTGCCGCCATCGCCATCGAGCAATCCGCACGCTGGCGAATTCGAGATAAACTCCACACAGAGCTGCATATCGTTGCGGGGATTCATTAGCTCCAATGATTCGCTGAATAACTTTGCGGCGAGCAACGGCAGTGGAGGTGCGGCGGCAGCGGGCGGTCCTGGCGGTGGCGTCGTCACCTCGGTCACCCTCTCAGTGCCGCCCAACAGCTGCAGCAGCAGCAGCAGCAAGCACATTCCGAACAAGCCGCCGCGCAAGCTGGGTGGCTTGGTGCCTGCCAGCGGTCCTGGCAGCCAAAACCATTGTGATAAATACAAGAATATTGTGAAATATGAACCTGTTGCCATAACGACATCCTCGCCCTCGGATGCCAACAGTAAGAATGGCGGCGGTAGTGGCTCCTCAATGGTCATCCTCAAGCCGCCCTCGCCGGAGACCACCACATCGCGCTCTGGCAGCACCTCCAGCATCTCCAGCACACCGCCGGACCTGCCGCTGCGCAACGAGAGCACCAAGCCGCTGCTGGAGCGCGATTACGAGTGCATCGAGAACATTACGGAGGCATGGCGCACACGCGGAGTCGGCGACGTTCGGCACTGCGAGCGCATACCCCCAATACTCTGCGACACATCGGATTTTGTCCGCTCGCGATCCGGATCCACGCGCAAGGATCTAGCGTCCCAGTCCAGTGGCAGCAACACCCCCAAGATCATCGACATCGACATTGGCGAGGGCGTAACGTCCCCGACCCTGGCAGTGACGTCCAACAATTCCGTGGGCGTGCTGATGTCCTCGTCGGACTCAAACTACGATCGGCTGGACTTCCTTTCGCCCAACAATAAGACATCCAGCGGCTACAAGACCATCGTGAATGTGACGCTGCCCGGTAATCGAGTGCGCTGCAGTCCGCCGCCGCCAAATGAATATGAATTGATCGCTAGTCCCGATACCGAGAGCTTTCGCAAGGCCGATGACAGCCATTTGGGGTATGGCGTTTTACGAAAATCAACGAGTGCCAATAATAACAATAGCAACAACAACAACAACATTGGAATCTCTAGCAACAACAACAGCAATGCAACAACGAACAAAAGCAACAACGAATCTGCTCTAGATCATCGCAGCTATAATGGTCTGAACTATACGATTGTCAGCAAACCGAAAAGAGTGTGAAGTGTGGAGAGTTTATCTGAGTGTGGCAAGCAAAATTCTGTTTACGTTTTATCTCCCCAACCCCCTTCCGGCCCAATCGTGCTTCAGAGCAGCAGGGACTCAAAATAATCCACATCCCCCGAATCTCTGCGTATACATATCTACACACGCTCCCTCTTGCAAATCTCCAGGGTTAATCCAAGCCAAACGAAGTGCTCCAACAGGCCTATCCTTGTACTCAATCGTTTGTAGCGGTCAGGAGGATGTACCCTGTCTCCCTGTCACCTGTTGCTGCCACCACCTCCCTCAAATGTAGAGATCTCCTTCCATAGAGTGCAGGCCATTCACATAGCATGTGTTCCAATGTTTGATGCACCATTTCACAGAATCTGCAGGTTTCATATCTCATCTTGGCCTGTTTACACTCACGTTTCAATGTTTCTTTTTCCTTTTGTGGACCCACAGAACAGTTCATTTCGTGTCTCTCGATCTCCTTATGGCCTGATACCGTAGTAATCTGATTGAACTGTTGGAGGCATTCCTCAACCTAAAGTATCTCCTCTAGATCGAACGAAAGTCGTGTTATTGTTTCTCGTTTCTGTTTTTTTTGTGTTAAATTTATAATCTGTGATTATATTTTTTTAATAACTCCCAGCTCTGAAAGCACTGCCCGCCACTTTTTTTTCTTTTTTTTCGGAACATTTTTTCAACCAAACTCAAACTCGACTCGCAGGCATGAGAATCATTATTACAGTGGATGATCGTTAGGGAAAGGACACCCATTGAACTGAATCGAGCACTAGATACATAAACAATTCCAGTTAAAGCCATCAGTTCCATTAGGAGCAGACACATTCACATTTACAGAGGATGTTTCTTTTTTCCAAGCGTAGAATATATTTATATTCTAACCACCGGTTGAATATATGTTTATCTAAAACTCAAACACTTGCGTATGGTTAAACAATCTACTTATGGATTTAAAAATGAAATCGCAAATGGTCCCTGTTCGCGTATCATTTCGTTTATGCGAAATTTTGTACAACGAATCAATCTCATTCGATGACATGCGATGTGCCCTAGTGGAACACAGGGATAGTCTTATATTAAGGTTAACATTTGGTAAAATATCCTTGAATCTATTTTGGTATTTAGTTGTAAATCGGAACCGATCGGAACAGTATCAGATCGGCTGACTGCATCATATACATAGCTGCCATAGAATTAAAATCCGTCATATATGAAGTTTGTTTTCACGATTACTTAAACAAAACATTCGATATACTTAAGTATTATAAAATTCCTAAAACATAACATAAAGCTGCCATCAGATGGGTTTTGGTGTCTCCAGACATATGTATGTGGCCGCGTTCGTTGCTATAGAAAGATCTGAGATCGAAGCCCAAAACCTATTGAGACTTTCAGGGTTTTCTTTTTTGTTTGTTTTTTGGTTTTTGTCAATCAAAAATGCACTGTAAATATTTTTCTCACAGCACCCCAGGTACGAGTATCATACCCTTAGTGACGACAGTCGTAGTTTGAGGCAGGGACTGTCTCTTCTCATCCTTGCCACACTGCCTATACACCTCCACTTCACTCCTGTCACTCCTGTCACCACCCAGCAACCCCCACATTCCGCCCCCCACCCCACGCAACTCCTCGCAACATTCGAGTTCTCAAACCAGGCGCCATCTTAGCAGGATCGTTGTAAACGACATTTATTTTTCTTTTTTCTTATCGTATTATGCCGCGGTCACAAAAGAAGAAAATAAACCAAACGAAAGTTGTGGCAAAAAAAGCATTTTACTTGAAAAGAAACCATAATTATTTTTTTTTTCACTTTACGTTTACGATTATGATTATTGTAATTATTATTTTTTGTGTCTGCAAACTATTATTGTGTAAATAAAGAACAAACTAAATCTAGAAATCGAATCGAAGGGCCGCGGCTCTACTTCTATGCCCGGTACACGGTCAGTAAATATTTGAGCTTATGAATTATTTATCTCATTCAATATATTTTATGTAGTAAATGCAGACAGACATGGCTATGTCGACTGGGTTATTGGTGCCTATCAAGAATGTACATAGTATATACTTTATGGGAATGGAAACGCCTTCTGGGTGTTACACACATCCGCATCAACCATAAGCCTAATATGTCAATAATAGAAAACTATGTAGTATGCCATGGAATATATACCGTCCCATTTGTACATCAGATTTCCAGAAATGCTCATTCATATCCGAGCCGAGTAGAGTAACGTTTCTAAAAAATAAACACTCCGACGAATTAAAAATTAAATTCAGTAACAGAATCGGTTTATTCTGTGCCTTTTTGTTGAAGCGGTTGAACACATAGAACATTACAAATAACAGAGAAATATACGCAAAAGTTATCAACTTTTGAAACTCGCGTGAAGTGAAAAAATCGTGTGTAATCGCCGTGTTGTGAGCGAGTGCTAGGTGCAAAGAGAGGATCGTATAGTACAAAAGAACAGCAGCAGAAATGTTGTCCCAAGTGTTGCGTGGCTTCCAGCGTATGGCCCAGTGGCGCCCAATGCCGGCTCGTTCTTTCTGCTTAGATCTGGTCTACAAGGTGAGTGAGGCTCTCATCGATCGATATTCCCAGTTGGTAATCCAGCACATGTCGTCCTCCGGTCGCGCAGGACGACTACGTTGAGAAGTTGCGGCACAGCTACTACGCGGAGGAGCGCAACAAAATGCTGCTGCCGGCCTACAAGAAGGCCATGCTGTATCCGGACGATCTGGCGATCAGAGATAGCGTTGGTGAATTTACGTATTTACAGCTATACATCTCGGCCAAGCGTCTTTCAAATGAGATTTCAGCTATATGCGGTAGATATAGAACCCACTGCCGACCGACTATAGAGTGGATCTCTCACATCGCAATCTCTTTTTCCTTCCTTCCAGGCAGCGGTACTTCGTCATCAGTTGCGTTTTTCTGTGGCAGTAATGCCATGTGGATTGTGATGCTGTGGGGCTGCTGGATGTCCGGCCAGGTGGCAGTGCCACTGCATGCAAGTTCGGGCCTGGAACTGGTGCGTCTCCAGGCTATCGACTGTAAGGCAAATCTGTTGATTGGCTCTCCTGAAAACGAGAGCGTTATCCAGAAACTGTCGCAGACCCTGAAGGCAGCCACCATTACGCTGGACCATGACTTTGTGCCGCCAATGAAGGACATCTCCTCCACGTCGGTATACGCCAAGCAGCTGGTGAGCACCGAAAAGCCGGGCGTTCTGATGCCCGAGTCCATGCTGGCTAATGAATTTTACGAGAAGAGCATGGCCATGATGCTGTACACATCCGATGCGACCAACACTTGCAAGCCGGTGATGCTCACCCATCGCAATGTCGATGCCCAGATCCGATGCCTGATCGACACCTGGCGCCTGGGGCCCAACGACACCTTGCTGCCCGTTCTGCCAATGGTGCGCCAGCACATGGCCATTGCGGCGGTGCTTCAAGTCGGCGGCAATGTCGTACTCCAGCAGGGCTTCAACGCCAGCAGCGTCTGGGACGCCCTGCTGGGCGTCAAAATGTCGACCAAGAAGCGCTGCACCTGCTTCTTGGCCATGCCCATCGTGTACAAGCAAATGATTGCCGAATACAACAAAATGTTCGTCCAGGACACGGTCATGGTCGAGTACATTAGGAATCACTGCAGCGAGAAGATGCGTCTAATGGCCACGGCCTTTGCCATCTTGCCGGATTCGGTGTTCAATGGCTGGCGCGACATCACCGGGCATCACATTCTGGAGTACTACGGCATGCTGGCGACGGGCTTCGTCCTGGGCCATGCCATCGAGGAGGGGCCAAAGGTGCTGCCCAAATTGGTTCCCCAAAAACGTCTGCCCAAGCCACCACCCAGATCTTTTCCACCCAACTACAAGCCGGGCACCCTGGGCTCCCCTCTCCTGGGGGTCACTGCCCGGCTGGTGAGTCCAACGGGCAAGGAGATCATTAAGTGCCACAACCATGTCGGTGGGCCCATGAAAATGGGGGGGGCCGTGCGTCAGGCCCCTAACAGTCCTGCAGATCCTTTTGATCCCACCAAAACGGCTGCCAATGGAGAGCTCGAGATCGCCTTCACGGTCACGGGAGAGGAGGAGAAATTCATACCCACCGGCGACATATGCGCCTATTACAACGACAACTTTTACTTTATTAGCCAGGCGTGTGATATGATAACACTCGGCGGTCTCAAGGTGAACGCCTCCGAGGTGAAGAAGGTGCTGCTCTCGCATCCGAAAATCAACGACGTGTCCGTACTGGCCATCCCGAATATGGTGTGGGGCCATCGACTCTTTGCCATTTGCGCTGTCTCGCCCGATGCCGCCCTTGAGGTGGAGACCATCGAGACATATTGCGAGAAACAATTGCCGGACTTCAAGTGTCCCTACATCGTAAAGGTGGTCGTCGCCAAGTAGTGGGCCGCTTCCGCCACTCGCCTTAATTACAAGACTTGATTTGCCTTCAACGAACACCAATTTACACCAAAAACATCAAACATATGTACAGAAATGCCTACTGCGCGACGTGACAATTATAAACAAATTATTTGTGATTTCTCTGTTTAATAAATAAGCATTTGTGACTTGAACACGTCCGGTACTCAGATCCGCTTCACAAGGAGTCCTTAGAACTGTATCTGCTCATCCTGTGAGCAAAGAGCGGGGTACGTGGGATTGGCCTTGGTCTGGCAGCCGCTGCCTGCCACCGAGCAGGAGGAGTACACGGGCTTATTCAGTTCGTTGCCCGTGCCATAGTTGCAGGCAACCAGGAAATGGTGGAAGTTTTGTTGCTTGAACCGCGTCACGGCACAGCCCACGGCCACGTTCGCCTCATTGACCATCACCGCAAAGTGGGTTACATCCCTGTGGGAAGAGCGTTGCCAAATGATCATACATTTGTCCATCAAAGGTAAACAATTGTTAAACGTACGGTCCGCTTAAGTGGAAGGCTTGCAGCTGCTCTCCTGTGATGTCACTACCCTCGGCTGCCCAATCGTCCATGGCTCGCTTGAGTATCCTCTCCACGGAGCTTGGAATGATCCCAGCGAATCCCGCCATATAGAGATTCTGTCCGGAATTGCGGTACTTCAACGTGTTGTGGCACTTGTCGTGCTCCAAGAGGCACTGCCTGGTATTGAGTTCGGCCAGGCGGGCCAGCTCCTGGTCCCACGAAATGGTGGCCATGCGGCAGGCAGACCTCGAGACAGTGTCGCCGCCCCCGCTGGCCCACTTCTGGCGCAGGGTGTTGTGCGCATGCACCACCTGCTTGCGGGCCGCCTCATGGATGTCCAGTCGAGCGGCGTCGGGGGGACACGAACGGGAAAAGTTCTGTGGTGGCAAAGGAGCTATTAATGGTGCATCCTTGTGGTTTTTGGTCGATGGAGTTACCCCACGGTTGCGGCAGCCAATGTGCATGGTGTTTACGGGACAGAGCTCCGCCCGGCAGTAGTCCTGGGACTGCACGAGGCAGGCGCACATCGCGAGGCAGGCCATGGCAATGCATCGGAGCTGCATTTTTTTCGGTTTGTGGCGTGGCCCTGTCGATGGGTGGTTGCTTTATAGGGCCCATTATGTGAGTGGGTTATCAGCAGAGCATGTCGGAATGCCATAGTGCAGGCCCAATAGCCTAATGATTCAACGGCAAACAATCTAGAAAAACCCCCGCCTAAACCAGTGTGTGCCAGCGGACAAATGGCAGTAACGATAGCAACTATCGATAGACTAGCATTGTAATGACAGCCCTGCCTTTAGCGCCAATTCAAAGTCAATTTTAAAATGTCTACAAACTATATTTCATGCAATTTTGATTCTATAAAATTTCTATAGCAATCGAACACTCTCCGTTCTCACGTAGCCCCGCATCGCCCTAGCCATCCATCAAATCGATTTTGGTAAGTGGTTCCATGGTTAATGATAACTTTGTTGATGTGAATGGCACTCGTTGTTGTTGTTTACTGTGGGCTTTGTTTTATTTTACAATTTTGTTTACGCACAAAATTGTGCTAACGTGCCGGTGGCAACGTCGTCGTTACACAAAAGTACTCGGTACCCTTTTCCTTTCCGATGGGCTACAGATAGAGTCCAAATCTATTTACCGGCTAAAAATAGCACGACAACCAAAATTTACAATAAGCAAAAAAGAAGCTAGCTTCTTGGGAGTCGAAGCCATTGATACTCTTAGAACCTCGTTCGTTAAGATGGCAGGTTGGGGCTAAGATTTTTCTTAAAATCTACTATTTCTATGTCAGCTATGTACATACATATATAAGTATGCAGTCTTTTAGTGATACAATGAGGATATTCTTAGGTTTCTAACATTTGTCTTGGCTATCATTACAACAAAATATATGTATATGTATATTAATGCCATGGCAAATATTTAATATTTCAAGAATAATAGGGTATTTTATGGGGAAATATATCTATAGATCTATACCCGGTTTTAGGGTATAATTACGCTGAGAATGTTGTTTGCTGCCGCCTTTCCACTTAGCACTTGAGCAGCATCAGGGTTAAAGTGGGGGAAACATTTGCCACGGTGTGGATTACACACAAAATGTAAACGTGCGTGTGTGTGTGTGTGTTGTGTCTGCCCCAAAGAGTTTTCGAATATTTGTTTAGATTTTTCACATGTTTCTGTTTTGATTGGTTTTCTGTTTTTCTCTCCTTCTTGGAATAGTGCTTTGTTGTCGAAGGTCGATTACAAAATGAATTGAAGATGGATTCAAATAATATATCATCACCGTTAACAGAGCCTCTGTTAACTAACAGACTCGCATAGATCCTCTCAAACTGTGGCCATGTGGCCAAATCAATATTAATACTATTTACCCGAAAAATGTTGAAAAGCCGTTTCCAAATCTGTTTACGTTTTTCATTTACTTCTTATTTACCTTTTTTTTCGGTGGGGGTTGGGGGTCCTAATCTTTAAACTGAAACTCATTTTCATTCGCTTTTATCTCGGTTACAAAATCCTCTGATGGTCAGAAAGTCATGTGTGTGTGTGTGGTTGTTGTTGTTTTTGGTGGATGGGTTTTATCAAGACCCAGACGGGGAGCGGCATAAACAGGTCGCTGATAAGGCGACCGTCAGCTGTAATTCAATTTACAAGAGGGGCCCCTGTCACCCCGTTAACCTTTATGCGGTTCTAGAATTTCGAATTTCAAGCATTTTCGAGTGCTGCCCGAAAAGAAGAGCTCAACAAGTGAAAGAGCTCTAGTCCACATAACGACGATAATATACCCTGTTGAGAATGAGAGATAAGAATTAATGAAAAACATAAATAACTTTAAATTATAGGAAACAAAATATCTCTTGTTTATTGAATGTATCAATGTTCTCAATGCATTGCAATGTAGAAATTTTTCAGTGATACTATATTTAGAAAGAAATCACAGCCTTATTTTCCAATAGTGCTTCACAGCATCTTCTTCCTCAACCAACTTCAATTAGGTCTCTCACGGACAAAAACAAAAGGTTTGAGTCCAACCAGCACAGCCGAGTTAAATGAATCTAAATTTCACAGAATATACCCTCGAACCCCACCCAATGCAGGGTATCAAAAGGATGCGATGCAAGCAGGCACGTAGGCTCTGCTTCTCTGTTGTGCGGCCGGTGCAGGCAACTGGAAAGCGCACACGGACAGCCTGCCTCTATCCCTCTCTCTCTCTCACACTCACTCGCTCACACGAACGACGCAATTAAATTTTCTGTCATTTTATGTAAAGGGCGGTAAGTGGAGGGGGGACAAAAGAAGCCCTCACGCCACGCCACGACGCTACGCCTTTTCTCGGTGACACACAGAGTTCTCTGCCGCAGTCGCTGCCTATGCTGCTGCCTCTGTCGCCGGTGTGTCGACGTGCCAAAATCCGCATACAAAAACTCAACAAAAGCAACAAGAACCGCCGCCGGCGCACGCTACTCTTCTGCTGCGCTGCAGTGGATCAAAAACGGAGTGGATCGTGCGTTTAAACAGCATCCACATGCACATCTGTTGCCTCTGAGCCGAAGATGGGGGGCAACACGTACGCCAAAATAAAAATCAAGAGGAACAAAACAAAATAACAAAAACACAAATTTAAATGGCGTTGCGGAAATCTCGAATGGCACTAAAATTGTGCGAGTGTGCGTGTGTGTGGACCTTGAAAAGCGCGACGAAGAGAAAAAAGCCGACTAGAAACTAGAAACGAAAACGCGAATTTTGCAGCAGCCGCGCCGTTGGAGCTGAGCAAGGTCTCCCTTTTTGGATTCGCTCCACTCACGCTTTACATTGTACATAAAACATATGTATGTATGTATGTATGGGTAGGGGAAGACAACAAGATCCACATACTGATTAGCCCGGCACACGCCCCAGACCACACTACCGAAGTATTTCTGAGGCCTAGACATCAGCCCCCAATTAATTCTCAAACCTAGACCCCAGCCCCAAGCCAGCATTACATTCACGGTTTTTCGTTTATTACGCATTTTAATTGTCGTTCTTTACACTTTTTTGGCATGCCTTTGATTGTCATGTGGATCATGTTTGCTGTGACGTCAGCTGGCTGCAGAGTCGTGTGGCTCCTTTCCACGAGGTGTGGAGGGTTCAATGCGCTTTTGCAGGGGCGCAGGTCCCTGCAGGTCCAGGTGCAGTCCCAAACAAAGTACAATTTATGCATTTTGTAACATGCACATACGAAAACAGAAAGAGACAGAGACAGAGACAGAGGCTGTTGCAGTTGCAGTCAACCCTGTTTGTTGCTAGGCCCGGCGCCAGGTTTGTTACGTGACGTTTTATCAGTCGTCCCCAAAGCTCGGGGCGCACCGTTGTTCTTGTACACGTCCTCCACCCGACAACTGTTTTCGTTTATGCGTGTACATGCATCTTGAACGTGCAGTTTGCTAGGAGGGTATTCCGCAGTTTTTGGGGGTGTAGCTTTTTAGAACATTTAGAATATCGTTTACTACGTAGTTTTTTCCGGAACCATCGGTCATGACTTTGCCGGAAGAAGTTTGTTCTGAGCAACCTTAACGGAAACTTCTCGACCGAAAAAGATTCCTTACCAAATTCCAACCCTTCAACGGATTAAAGTACACAGAACATTCTGGACATTCTACGATATGTTGAAGCTGCAAGCCAAGAACACGTTATGTCGGCGCATAAACCTTTCTGGAAACTTCCCACCGAACACATGTTTCGTGCTTCAGCGCCTAAGCCTCCACAGAGTGCAGTGCACTCTTCTCTATTAAAAAAAAAACAAAAACTGTAAAGTGGCGCGTCGTTGACGCTGCGCTGTTGGTGGGGGCCAACCCGTTGCAGTTTTGTTAGAGCAGTGCCGCTCCATTTTCTCAGCATTGATCTTTATATTCCTTTTCATTTTAGCTTCTGTACATTTTTGGGAGCCAAGTCCACTTAGCATAGGTGCAGGGTGCGGAGGGGCTACAGACAGGGGCGCTTTGTTTGATCAAGGCCACTATTTGTACATATGTACAATAGCAGACACACATATATAAATATGTAACGTATGTAAAATGTGGGTGTGTGAGTGGGTAAACACATGCGTGAGGCAATGAAGTAGAACAGAAAAAGTACGTCGCCTCTGCTGGCGTCGCTGCTATGCGTGTGCAGGGCTTGGAAGGGGGACCAACATCTACAGAGGGTAGCTCTGGTGCTGACATTTTGTCACACGCTGCGACCTAAATACGAATTTTATTATATTTTTTGTTTTTCGTTTACCTTATCAATGGTAAATTAGTCGGCTCTGCCCATTGTGCGTGCGTGTGTGTGTTTGTTTGTGTTTACATAATGCAGTTTCTCTTGCTGCCAATGTACCGTTTTACAGGGACTGAAAGGGCAGCATCGCTGACATCTGTTGGTAGCGCTTCTTTAACCGGCTTACATTCCCCCCCTCTCCCTTGCACCATGTCACTGTCAATGTCCATTGATGCCTATGTGTCTGTTTTCTTGTATGTATGGTATGCTTCGCAACATCGTGCCGCCGTTTTCGAACTAGCAGCAGCTGTGCTCCCCGCACACCCTTCTATGCTAGCATACTCCCTGTCTCCTTCTCACTCACTCACATGCACGTACACATACACAGAGCAACAGCGCTCGCTTGCTCTATCGTTACAAGCGTCGCACAGTGGCTCGTTTTCGGAAAACTCGTTGCAAAAATTAAATTTTGAATTGTGGAACTTCGCAACATTCAATTGGTTTTTCCATTGGGAATTGATCAAGCTATGAAAAACTTTTGTTACTCTTCAATTGGGAAATGATCAAGCCAAATAAAAAACATATATTCATACATATTGACATACGTATTCTGACATATAATTGCTGTTAAAAGTTGCACCAATGACGCGAATTTAGTTAAAAAATAATAATTTTGAAGAATTGAGAAAGTTTCAGGGTGATAACTGGCTTAGCTCAAAAGTTATGTTTTTGCAATATGTTTTAAGAAAATGACCCACTGTGCGTCGACGTTGACTTCGTTTCATACCGCATCGAGCTGCGTCAAAACATTTTCGAACGCCTCAGCAAACGGTTGTTTTCTCTCCGTAAAAGAAGTTGAAGTCGAAGAAGTGAAAGAAGAAGAGGAAAAAGAATTCCAAGGAAACAGTTCAAAGAGTGGAAGAAAGAAAAGTGTAATACGCAAAAACGAACTTACCATAAACATTTTTTTACATGTTTTTAAGCGAAGTTACTTATCCCTTCATAAACCGGTTGTTAAATGAACAGTAAAACAATAAAAACAAACAAAATCAAAGCAACGTTGCACATTTTCTTGATTCAGTGCATATAAAACTGCATGCAGATAAACAGCGTATAAAAACAGCAAAAAAAAGCAGTCAAACAGAAGAAGAAACAGAAGATAAAACAAAAAATGGCCTTTTCCATTGTTAGCCGCAACATTTTGCGCACTTCGAGGGAAATTCTGGAACGAAATATGGCCGCAACGGTCGGTGCACTCCAGCAGCAACTGACCGCCGCCTCCCTGCCGCCCTCACCCACACACAGCGATTGCCATGTAAGTGCACATGTGTGTGTGTGTTTCAGTTTCGATGTTAATTTAATTATAAAAAGAGATCCAAAAATGGTGGTAGAGTGGGAGGAGGAAGGGAAGTTAGCTCTTAAAAAAACGAGGCCAGTGCGTCTGAAACTGTGGATTACACGCACGTACACAGAACAGAAGCACTTCTCAAACTGCAACTCAAAGACAGTTTACTCCTCTGCCGCACAAATTTCATAAAACTGTAGCACAGTTTAATGAATGAATGAGTGATGATCATTCGTAGGCCGATCCCCTTCCCCCACCCCTTTGTGGCGTTGAAGAGGTGCTGAAAGAAGCCATTCTTTCCCTCCAAAAACAACAACAAACTGTTGTGCCAGAAAAACGCCAGAAGCTTCCATCATCCCAAGAACACCCTCTCTGAAAACTTGAAATGGAAAACTGCGCAGAATTTTGCAGAATAAACTTACGCAAAGCGCCAAAGCGTAGTAGCAGAGGAATAACAAAAGGAAACAAGATATTTCCACTTCCTTTCTTGCTGCCCTTTTACCTTGCTTCCACTCCCACTTCTCGTAAATACACACACCCCTTTGCAACTCGAAACAGCTGAGCGGGAGAGAGATAGAGAGCGCAGTTTGAAAGCCACAATTTAGTCTCGAAGAAATGTTAGTTAACAGATGTGTTAGCAGAATGTTTTGTTTTTGGGTCAAATGGGAGAAAGAAACTCATAATCCTGTTTGTTTAGGGAATGTGAACTAGTAGCTTTAGCTTGGAAATTATTCCTTCAGGAATTAGTTTTCTTTGGTTTCTATTCGCTTTAATGAGAGCGGCAACAGCGTATTGTGTATCAGTGTTTTTTAACAGGTCGATAGCTTAACATAAATGTTGTTTTTCCTTAGAAGCAGTTTTAGAGCCTCTATTGATTAACATGAATAGATATCCATTAACTTTCGCTTCTGGCTTAATTCTCCCCTTCAAATTTGTAAATTTTTTAGTACTTCTAATAAAACAAAATAATATACATCTGTATGTACTGTTGATCAGCATTAATCCAAGCCAGACCAGCATAATGTAATGTTGTCCAATATGTTTTTCTTTTCTTTCTGTTTCCTCTGAATGAAGAAAGAGTCACAAGGAAGAGGTTTTAATACAGATTTGAGGCGATTCTGCTTTCCTGTTGATTAACACTGACCTGTTGCTCGACTTTGCCGGATGCTTCTACTGCTTTTTATCCCACTGTTATTTCGGCATAAATCAATTTGATCTTTTTTTTGTATTGGGTTATTTTTGAAACGTGCTTTTCTTGTTTTCAGTCTCAGTCCCAGACTCAAATATCAGACTGAAATTCAAATAAAAAGAGGCCCGTTTTTGCATTTATTATAACAAAAATCGCTTTTGGCTTATTGGCCAGACTTCGAATGAGAAAAAACTTGTTTACAACCAAAAAACGTATTGTTTTCGTTGGCCAAAGTTCGTTTAACCGAGCGAAACCACTGGAACTACCACTGGGCCCCAAAAAGAGGTTCCACCGATCGACACACACGCATGAACATACGATGGTTCATTCGTGATAATGATATCATCTGGGGGCCGCCAACATCTGTATTTGAATTGTGTGCTGTGTGTACGGGTCTTGGGGGCCCATTTTTCTTATCGAGAGACATTCAAAACGTTTACAAGACTTTTGGTTGTAATTAAAAAAGAGAGTTCTCTTTATCTAATGGCACTGACAGAAGCTGTCAGCGATAGAGGATGAACATTTCCTCTGAATGCGGTCTGGGATATCTCATTAAATTGCCGGGAAAATTTCCCACAACTAGACGATTTGTTTTCTGGCTTCACGTTTCATAGCGGCTCTTTAACTATACAGGTTTCGGTTAATAAATCTTTTTTCCACCAGTACCTTAAAGACCTTCGCTCTGTAACTGACAAATCTTGTCGCTCTCTCTCGCTCTTGCGAGATCACTTGCAAAAAATGAATATAAAACTGGTTCAGAATTGTTTTTCAGGCAAACAGAACTGACCTTAACAATAGCCCCCCCACTCGCTCCACTCGAAAAAAATCTAGAGGAGACGAAGAGAGAGCAAGAAGTGTAATCAAGAGAATAATGTTTGTTTATACGCTGAAGGGCACCACAAAAACCATAGAAACAACAAAAAGCAAGAACATCAACCTGAGCATGAGGTTGAAAACAGAACACAAAAACAACAACATTTTAAGCATAATATTGTGCAACATCCAACTCTGAATGTAACAGTAAATAGTCAACCGATTTTGGGAAAAGCAAATATTAATGAAGGATCTAAAGAAGATGTCAGAGGTCGAATAGAAATTTCAGTAGAATAAGTTAATAGAATTAAGAAATAAAGAAAGGATTTGCAGATCCCAATTATTAAAATTTGAAACTTATGGCATCTGAAAACAATTCCCTTAAAACTGTAAACTAATTTATCTTCTCCCCCATCAAATTGTTTTTCAGCGCCTTCTACTCGTAACTGGTGGAAATGGAGCCCACCCGCTGCTGTGGCATCAAATGCCAACAGCCGTGGTCCAGGCCGTGCGCAAATATTCAAAGAAATCCGCCGGAGCGGCTCGTCTACGCCGCGAGGAGGAGAGCGACAGCGATGCAGACTCGGATGATGAGTTTGAGCAGCGCCGCCAGAAGACAAGCTCCAAGAGAAGCGAGCGGGTGAGTGAACTGCAGACACAAACACACACAAAAAACACATCAAAGCATATAAAATAGACCCCTGCAGCACGGTCCACGTGGCTGAGAAAATTCCACGATGTGCCTTGGTATGCAAGAAACGTGTTTCGTAAGCTGCTGCTTGAGATACTTTCCAGTCCACTCGGATTTGGCGGCTCAATGTCGTTTTTTGAACCTGCTGCCGTAACAGAAGTTGGCCAACAGTGTAACAGAGTTTACAGGGTGCGCGTTCTGTTATGGCCAACTGCTGCGCAGAGGCAACACCATGACACCACTTGCACACGGCTCAAATTTCCTACGATCAAAGCTTTGCAACGAGTAAGCTTTAAGCTTGGTGGCAGCGTAACCTGAAACCAAATTTATGCTTAAAGCTCAAGGCTTGAACTGCTGAAAAGTTCCGACTCCGATTCAGCAAACAAGTGGCGATGAAGCATTGCAGAAAAAGCTGTTGGTGCAGTAACAACCCTCAAGCAATTTGAAGCAGTAGTTCCTAGATAGCTTTACCGTTAGACCAAGCAGTTCGCCATATTTTGACAGGTTGAAAGCTGTTCAGTAAATAACATTAAGCAGTTCATCTCAGGAAAACTGTTACATTTTTTAAGCTGTGTATAGCTTTCCTCATTAAAATAGTTAATATCAGCTGTCAAGCAGAATCTAAATGACTTAAAAGAGTTTTTAAATTAATTTCTTATGTTCGATGTAGCATATTATCTTTGGACGATCTTAATATTTTGGGTGTAGTCGATTCGACAATGAAAGAGCGTCTTGGATTATAAAAGCACAACATTTAAGCAGTTTTGTAGACAGTTTTAATGATTTTGGTATCTCTTTTTCTATTGTTCAGGGTGATTCGGCCTTCTGGCGCCGCAAAATGCGCACTCTACATCGCATCATGGACGTGAACCATGACGGCGTCATCTCGTTCGATGATTTCAGTTTGCTGGCCAAACGATTCAACGATCTGGGACACCTGACGCCCGAGGTGGCTGCCGAATTCAACGACGTGATCAAGCAGACCTGGGAGGAGCAGTTCGGGGAGATAACCCCATACAATCTGGTGACTGCTGAACAGTTTCTGGCCGATTTGCATCATCGTCTCAACGACAAGAAGATGGCCAAGCGCATTGGACGCTTTCTGCCCTACTTGTTTAAGGTGAGCACTCAGTATTTCATATATATTTATTCGTCTTTATAAAATATTTGTATTTTGCATTTTAATAGGCTGTGGACTTTGATCACACTGGCCATCTGGATCTCGAACAATACAAGCTCTTCTTCCGCTGTCTGGGACTGACCGAAGACGATGCTGCCGTTTCCTTTGCTGTGATAGACAAGAACGGCGATGGCCAATTGTCGCTCAAGGAGTTTGTGCACTTGGGCCGTCAGTTCTTCCTAACCGAGGACGATACAAAGATATCGAAGATGTTCTGGGGACCGCTGGTTGCTGATCATTGACGTGTTGCAGTCACTGCTGTAGAATACTCACATAAACAACAACAAAATGTGAGACAACATCATGTTCACGATGCACGATGCAACAATGAGCCAATGCTGCCCCAAACAACAACAACAACAAAGACAACGACAATTAGCCATCAGTCGTTGCCAACACGCGTGCAGGTGGTACGCGGCAGTTGGCCCTATCTACAGCATGTGGCGCCTCATACAAACAGCAACAATCGAAACAACAACAGCAACAACAACAATACGATCATTATAAGGAACATGAGCATTTACGACTATTTACGGCAAGAGTGGAACCACACAGGCAAGCGCTATCGTCGGCAATCGGAGAGCGATGAGGATCCAACGCCCAGTCCCAAAGTGCGAAAACACAACTATAGCAACTATTATCAGAGGAGGGAGAAGGAGCGCGAAAGGGAGAGTAATGGTGGGACAGGAAATAAGAATTCAGTGGAGGACTATGATATAAGATTTTTTTTCTACCTTAATTCTCTAATACTATTCACGGTATCGTGCCGCAAGTACGAGGGCGATGACCTAAAGCACTTTATTGTCGAACGCATACGTAAATTTGATCGGGTGCGCCGCAAGGCTCGCAAACGGCGCAAGCGACGGCCCAAGCAAATGCTGGCAGCAGAGCAACTGCCATCGTGTAAACACGCCTCCCCAGTCCTCCCTCTGATTATCGCTATCCCCCCCTAAATCTATTCGTATATGATATCTATTATTTTTTTGCCTAGTTAAGAGTTACGTTTAATAACTGATATACAAAACCAACAGCAAACATGATATGTAACAAGAATAAAACTGATTTTAATTTGTAATCGTAATCCCAACAACGAATGTGTACTTCTGCTTCATCTGCCGCACTTGGCGGTCAGCGCGAGATGTGAAATGTACAAAAAAGCAGCCCCCAGCAGACGACCTGCGGCGGCCACATTTAATTATGTAAACGCGCCTGCGAAGAGGATTTGCTGCAGATATCAACTGAAAAGTGTTTGGCGGAAAAAGCAGGAAAATCCAGTGAAGGAAATGGAGGGAAACAGCTGCCAAAACAAAGGAATCGAATGCACTTTCAGTCGTATACTCGTATTTGGTAGAATAAAGCGATACAAAATGATATGGTACATTCGTACATTCACAGTGATATTTATAAGAACCTCTCGTCAAAGTCTCAATACCTTATGTGTAAGGAAAGAAACAGAATCCCGTTAGCTGCCAACCAGATTCTCAAAGTTCCATTTCAACCAAAAAATATAACGCGAGCGGCAAAGGGCGCGACTCTACTAGTCTCTGAGAACTAGTCGTCAAACAAGACGGACGGACAGACAACCATGGGTATATCGACTCGGCTATTGATCCTGAGCAAGTATGTTATACTTTATCGGGTCAGAAACGTTTCCTTCTGGGTGTTAAACACATCCAATTTCACCAAAAATCGAATATACCCCATATACGCTTCGAGTACCGGGTATAAATATGGCCAAGAAAAAGTTGTCGCGCGTAAATCTCGGTGGCAACCACCCACGTTCCACGTCTAGGCCGGCTGACCAGAGCTCATTATGCGCATTTGTTGCAAGATGGGAGGGTGGGACCGGCTCCAGTCCGTTTCGGTATGGGATGACGATGACCATTTCTTTCCTCTACTTCTAGTCCTTCTCTCACGCGTTTTTTTCTCTCTGGCTTCCCAGTCTCTCTTCCTCGACTCCCGCTCTTTTTTCCTCTGGTCTCTGCTCTTACTTCATTTTTTGTATATTTATTTGTAGCTAATAATTTTAATGCTATTCAAAATTATGTTGGCAAAAAAAGTGGCAGTTGAGTGGGTGGAGGGGAGCGGGTGCTGTGAAGCCACGTGAAAGCATTTTTTGGGGCGACTCCACCCTCATCCCCGCGCCACATACGGGTTCTGCTTATAAATTGCATTTGTATCTAAAAGGACATTAATTCTGTGTGCGTGTGTGTTAGTGTGGCCATACCGCACTCAAGCAGTGGCAGTTCCCCGCGGCTGTTCGTCCACTCTTTTGCTGCACTGCTTGACTGTCCGGCTGTCCCCGGCCCGGCCCCGGCCCCTTTTGCGCATTTCTTACTTGCTTCAATATTTTATAATTTAATTTTTTTTCTCAGCTCTTTCGCCCACTGCTAATCCCTTTGCCCTGTCCCCCTCGACTACCCCAATCAACCCACCGCACACACACACACATCGCGACATCTTTCATTATGTAAATGCACGCTTTACACACACATAGCTCTTTTTTTCCTGGCAGTGTGGCTGCACTTCGCCTTCGGTTGTCCGCTTTGGGGCCGTGGGTTTCACCCATCTTTCTGGGGTTTTTTTTCACTCTGGGATTTGTTCGTATGTTTTTTTATTATGAATAAAATATATCACATACGCATACACATGTAAATGGTTAAGTACATATGTATGTAACATGCTGCCGTCTCCTCTTTCTCTCACTATCAGTCGTTACTCTTCACTCCTTTCCTTCGCTTAATTTTTTTCTTTCTTTGTGCTCGTCATTTCAACATATTTTATCGCGTTTTAAAAGCAGTTTTTAAAAATTAAAATAACGTCCTAAGTCCACATTTGGTCAACAGATGCTCTCCAAGAAGGAGGAGCCCAGGCATTTCACTCTGTCTCTCTGGACTCTCGGCTTTCATTTAAATGAGAGCCCCTCCGCCAGTCAGAGGCGGCTATGTCGTTTAGAGAACTTCGTATACCATTGGCAAACATCCATAATTAGTTGATGTTTAATTTAATCCAAGTTTTTCTACACAACATTGGTTTCACCCGATTAAATCACCCAAAAGGGATATGATCCAGCAGATTTGGCAGGGAAACCCTTGCTAGATATGGTTCATCTACATATACATACATACATATGAACATATGATGTTGCGTTTTTAATTTTCTCGTATCTTCTAAATTTTGGATGCCACAGATTATTGTCCATTGTCCATATTATTGGGGGCGGGGCGATATTTTGAAATACACTTTTAACAGTGCGATATCCTAGAAGTGTGGATATCAAATTTGGTTTCTCTAGTTCTTATAGGCTCTGAGATCTAGGCGTTGATAGGGACGAATCGACTCGGCTATTGATGCTGATCAAGAATATATATATACTTTATGGGTTCGGACACGCTTCCTTCTGGGCGTTACACACATTCACTTTCCTCATAGTATCGGGTATACAAACTAACTATAACAAAAAGGGCAAAGAAATTAATGGATAATCTTCAGTTGCTTAAGATAATATTCCAAAAATACACACAGAAAAAGGAAGGAGAACCAACAACAGTAAAAAGAGGCAAAAAGAAACGCATGCTACAATATACGAATCTTTTAATATCCTTTATGATCGAGCAGTCCTCTTTAAGTTCTATATTATCAAGCAGTCGCCTGTGTTCTCCGTTCTCCGTTTCTCCGCACAATTGAGTACGCCTCTGTTATTTATGTAATACAGACCTTTACCAAATTCTTAAGAAGGCAGTGGTTCACAAAGTACTTTACTGAAATCGGTGTGAGTAACATATATACGTGTTTAAGTTTCCTTGCAAGACTTTAATGTTGTAAGAGGTAAAGTCTAATATATTTGTGGTAGTTGATCTCCGCCTTATAAATCCGCGTTGGAGCTGGAGATTTAACCGATTTGCAGAGACGCTGCAAACACTTTACATGTTTATGTCCCAGGGCGCCCCCGACACTCCAGTAGTCGCATAATATATCTAATACAATAAAAATTACATATAACTATTTTGTTGCAAAGAAAATCAACAATTAAAAATGCCGAAATATTCTCGTATTTTCAAACAGATGTAAGTGTGCTTATCCATATCCATGGGTACTTTATTAGATCCCAAACATATTTCCTTTGCTTACAGGCTTATGATGTCATCATCTTCAGATTCAACCAATGACTCCACTATCGATAAGTTCGAAGAGTTAGATCCACAAGCGAATTCTCCAATGGTATCTCCAGACCGATAGGTCATTAGTAAGAAGTCCCAGGCTGAAAACGAAGATTACAAGTTGGATTTCGGCCCGTCGACTTCGAAGGCAGCCAGGGAGCGCTCCCACGGCAGAAAGAAGGTGAACAAAATAGTGCACAAGTTGCTGCAGACGGATAAAACGGTGGCGAATATACGGACAAACACGGCAAAGAAACTAAGAAACGCAGGTCGCCCAGAAAATATTCTAAGATCATGCCCGTTTTACTGGAAGAAAATGGCCATGGAACAACGGATATCATCGCACCATTTGGAGAAGCACATTGTGTACTGTCTGAATAAGCGACTGAAGGAAGTTCTCTCAGAGGTTCAATCTATCGGCCGTTTCGCAGTTGATGATCAGCCGCAGCCCCTGGCAGTGGAATCCGAACGAGGACATCAAGTCGGTGGAGTCAATCGTACGTGTTGTTACGTTACGTTTATTGGGTGTATCTGAGATCGTCGAGCCGCCATTTTTCCCCCAAAGAATAAGAATATGATCGGTGCACCAAGGATGTGACCAGTATGCCATCCCCCAGGGATGGGATCATTATGGAGCTGAGATGGTGGTGGAGGAACTGCGCCGTGGAGGTCACTTGCTACCTGACCCACTGGGATCGAGTGGGAGCTAGCATCTTTCGATGTATAGTATATTGGGCATATTTATATCTACTTCACAGCCCGACCTGTTCCCTACATTCGCATGGTGTGGCTCCTATTAGCCTATAGATGCAAGAAAGAGTGGGCCAATTAGCCCATTGAAAGAACAGCGGTTAGCGACGGCGAACAGCTGATAAGCTGCAACAGCAGAGGGAGAGTACAGCAGAGAGGAAGAGCAACAGAGGACCGTCGTTATATCAGCAGAAATCAGCCGAGATCGTTTTAGACCAATGTTTATTGAATTCAATTAAATAATAACTTACTTCTTTTTTGTGCCCCAGAATTCCGAAAACTGGTTCAGACACTTAAGCTAAAGAGTGTCTTGTTCTGGTTCTTTGTGGAGC